CGGCCGAGAGCGGGAGGCGGGTGGCGTTGACAGCGCTGGTGCTGCCGTGGAGGGAGTCTTTCTTCTTCACTTTAGCGTAGAGGCTCCCGTCCAGAGGCCCTTGTGTGTGCCCAACCTCTGCAAGGGGAGAAACGAACACGAGACCCCAGATCAATTGCTGGCTCTCTGCACAGAGCTAATGGGTCCCATTAGCCGGTGGTTTCGATCTCTTCCGTGCCGCTGGAATGTTTTAAGACCAGCATCGCCGTCTCCTCGGCACCCTCCGCAATCCCACGGGTGCCACCAGGCGAAGATACCGGAGCCAGACCCTCCCCAGCCCCTTGTCCCCACAGCCCCTCATTCCACATGCTGTCCTGCCCTGCCCTGCAAGCACTGCCTGCTTCACTGGGATCCACCAAAACTCCCCCCTCCCAGCCTCAGGCATCATTCCTGGCAATTCTCCTCCACAGCTGGTGAGGGCCAGGGCTGCCCACACACAGTCGGCCATTGCTTTGTCGCCGCTCAGCAGGGATCAGCCGGCCCTAAAGGACCATACGGCACTGGGGAGGTGAACAGGGAGGGTGGAGGAGATGCACCACAGCCTGTAGGAGGACAGGCGGAGGCGGTCAGGCTCTGGCCTTGTAGCTCTGCATGTTTCCAGCTGGATGGATGTGCTCAGCCCATGGGTGAAGGACAGCTGAACCACAGAACTACCTTCCCAGTCCCCACCCGCTCTCCTCCCAGATGATCCACAGATCCAGCCAGCCGCCCATCCTTGACATTTTCTTTCCTGGCTACAGACAGGCTCCCACCCCTTCTCTCCTTCCTCCTCCCTCTCTCAGCCTGGTTGGATCTGCCCTGGACCCTTACTCACTGCCACACACTGTCCCAAAGCTCCCACACAGGCAGTGTCTCTGCTCAACTCCAAACATGCAGCATCTCCTCTCTGGAGAGGCACCCAGTGCCCTGATCTCACCATTTGAAGTTGGTGAGAGCAGCCAGCTCTACTCCACGGCCCCAAAAGGCTTGGGGGAAGCCTGGGCATGGCAGCATTGCCACTGGCAACCTTGCATTCCAGCTACAAGCACATCAGCTCCCACCACCCACAGCAACCCCAACAACGCAACCAGCTGCTTCCTTTAAACTTTTCCAAATGGGGAAGCTAGATTTTGGGGGCAGAGAGGGACCCCAGCCACTAAGACGGCAATGGAGAAGGCCCCCAAGACTTTATCCCCCCCAACGGAGCATGCGCAGCACCAGCTGGGCTGCAGACTCCTGTTTTTCCAGCTCCCTGATGAGGTTTCCTGGAAGGGCCCGCGAGCCGCGTTAAACACTTTCTTTTGGAGGAAAAAATGACTCTTCCCTGGCAGGGAGCCAGGCGGCTGACTCAGGGACGGAAGGCGGCCCTAACGCGATAGTGTGAAATCAGAGCGTTCCTATCTGTGAGCAAAACACTTCCGAAAGCCAGCCCCAAGCTGGGGACAGCTTAACCAGTCCCATGCCGCTGCACCGGAGCCCCAGCAGCTCCCGCACCACTGACCCCCCTTGCTGTAAATCGGGGGGTGCAGTAACACCCAGCACATGTCCTACCACGTCAGGGTTCTCTCCTTGCCGCAGATTTCCACTCCCAAATCGCCACCAGCAGTATGTCAGGGAGGCAGCCGAGCCCCAGATTCCCCCCCTTGTCTTGAAGCTGCCATGGGACTGCACAGGAAGGTCCTCTCCAGGCACTCCGTGCTGGAAAGACTGAGGATGGGGTCCACGATTTCTCCTGGAGACTCAGAGCTCCTTTATCCACCCAGTGTAGCCAGGAACTGACAGCGTTTTGACTCCACAACACCTCCCATACAGGGGAAAAGGGGGAGGAAGGGAAGGAATCCGTGGAGGGGGAAAGGGAAAAGCAGCATGGCTAGTGTCAATGCCAGAGAGGCCAAGACATCTCCTGGAGCCAGGCCACTGCCCAGCCCTCCTGTCTGATGGCAGCAATGGGTACAGGCTGATCCCAGGAAAAAGGGCAAGAGCCAGGGTGGGGGCTGGGATAAATAGGGCAGGGGAATAGAAAGGAAAAGGGAATAAATAAATATAAATGAAAGCACGTGGCACCAAGGGAGAAAATAGCTAGGAAAGGCTTTAATTAGACTGTGGGCTGGGCATCATCCCACAGCTGGGAGAAATATCTCAACAGTGGAGTCAGGATGGGGCATGATGTGGTTGGCAGAGCCAGAAAGCCTCAAGCACCCTGTCCCACCTTCCCCAGACCTGGCCAGGCAGGGACACGAAAGGTCTGGTGGCCTCCACCACAACAGCAGTACCAGGGTAGCAAGAAAGGAAGGGGCCATGACACCTCCACCATCAGTCAGGCCCTCATCCAAAGGCTGCTCTGCCCCACACCTGACTGCTCCTCATCCCCACATATCCTCTGGGCTCTGATGCCAACAGCCAAATCCTGCTGTTCCTCAGTACTTCCAGGCCCACCTGCCCTGGGCCACACTATCCCTCATGCAGTCACCCATCACTTGTCACCTAAGAAGTTGAATAAAATTCCCCAAAGAAGACCAAAGGAAGTGGAGACAGGCTACCTTTGCTGAACCAGCTGTCCCCAAAGCATCAGGCTCCCAGGTGCCCATTTGCGAAGTGTCTGAAGCTCCCAGTAAGGTCAGATTTCATCCCTGAAGGTGAGAGCAGCTCCAGCCTGGGTCTGGCAGACTATGCCACCTCAAGGTCGGGTTTGCCCAGGGCTCAGCCCCAGATACAGCTCTGCTCCAGCTCCATCTGCTCTGGCTGTACCGAGGTGGCTCTGGGAAGCCCAGCCTGATCCTACCCCTTGTGCCAGGCTTTGCTACCCCAGCAGGGCAACGCTCTGGCCT